TTTAGTGATGACGTAACCATAACACCCAGGTCTTGTTCGCACGATGTTCTACGCAATGTGGTTCCCTGGAAGTTTTAGACTACCTCTGAGTCAGCACGCCCCAAATGCAAGTGAGCACACTTTGCTGTGCTGACTGGAAGAGCCCAGGTATCCGCCCACTGAGCCAGGTTGTTCACATCCGCTTGAAGAGAACTTCGATCATTCGGATCCTTGATTGTACGCTAGATTTTGATGTCATCCGCATACATGAGGGATGGGCTGCACAGATGACCAGGTAGGTCGTTCACATATACCACAAAGAACAATGGACCAAGAACCGAGCCTTGGAGGACCCCACTGGGAGCGGAATATCACGCAGAGAGCGATTTGCCAACACGGACGCAGAATTTCCGATCGACGGGCAAATCTCGCAGCCAATTCCGCATGACCACACCTACACCTAGGTTGGACAGTTTTCGCAGGAGGAGGTCGTGCGACATCTTGTCGAAGGCCTTGCTGAAGTCCACGATGATGTCCGTTTCGTGTCCTTTGTCCTTGTCCTCGGTCCAGCATTCACGTGCAGGTAGCAGGTTTGAGAGACATGAACGACCCGGCCGGAAGCCGTGTTGTTGGTGGCACAGGTGACCGTGGCACACAAAATGCTACCGAAGCCGTGCAGCCACCAGTCGTTCCATTACTTTACCCACAACTCTAGTAAGGCTGAATGGTCGGTAGTTCCCAGGGTCACTCCTATCTCCACCTTTGGGTAGTGGAACAATGACAACGTCCTTACACTGCTGCGGTAAACGCCCTTGAGTGAATGACAAATTGAACAGGTTGCACAATGGTGCTACGAGTTCATCTGCCAGTTCCTTCAGGATCAGCGGATGCACACCATCAGGTCCAGATGACTGGTGAACCTTTAGTCGATGCAGCTCCAGGGCGACCTCTCCGATGGTAAATGGAGCCCAGTTCAACGCAGTGTCAGTGTCCAGTAGATGTACCAGTGTGCTGGAGGCTGGGGTGTACACTGAGGCATAGTGTGATGCCAGCATCTACGCTTTGTCCTCATCTTTTTCAGTTAGTGCCCCATCTTTGGCGAGAGTTGGGAGACCAGGCATTGCTCTGATTCTTCGCCTGAGGTAGGCATACAATCGCTTTGGTGCTTGTACTGAATCCTTTGCTAGTCGTTCCTCGAATCTCGCCTCCAGTGTATACGCAGAACGGAGTGATCACTAGATGCAATTGGTGGAAGGAGGCCGCATCTGATTGCCTCGGCGAAAATACCAGGTCAAGGATGGATCTTTGATCCCCAACTAT